ATAAAATTAAGAACTTATGTTAATATAATATTAACATTTGGATAATTAGCTATGTTTTTATGCCAAGTTTATTTGTATACCATGATAATAAAGTAGTTTAATTAAATTTTAAACGTAACTCATAAAAACCTTGTGATGTGTGCAGAAAAGAGTGCTAATAGCAAGATGATTAAGCTAGATATTCTAGTTTCAAATAAACAAATTAAAAGCCATGAATTCGAATTGTATTAGGCCTATTAAATGTCAAACTGCACTAAACTTGAAAATGTAGTTTCTTTTAGAAGTGAAGTGACATTTTTACACACTGGTAATTTTACAGATGAATCAATCCCTCTATGGTAAGTTTTTGCTGGGTTGTTAAGTCAGTCACACTCTCTCAGATTTGAAGCAAAATTCACCAAATTCTTTGGTTTTGAGATTATAAGCTGTTAAGGGGTTTTATCTTCATGGAATATGAAGGAATAAAAAGCCTAACAATAGAGTATTGCAGTTAGATAAAAGTCACTGAAAGGAGTACCTCAAACAGTAGGTGAGTATTTAGTAAAAATCAAGAATATGATGAATTAAAGCTTTTCTTAGAGTTTTGGAGCTATTATAGATACTACTGCCTCACTGCTCTGTGAATATACGATTCAAAGGAACACAAAAGTCAAACATCACACGTATGCAAATTGCAAAATGAGTTGTTGGCTGTGCAGTAATGAAACCCCATATGAAAGATCTCTACCACATGTTAGGCCATAATAAAGACTATTATGGGAACTTGCAAGTTTATTTTTCATGTACACAAGAAATCATTGATATTTAACAATATACTTCCTTTTTTTTTATTACACATGGAAGATAATTGAAAATTATATTTCAAAAATTGTGAAAAAAACAACAGATTTCAGTGATCTTGCCGAAGGTGGTTGGAAGAGATAGAGAGAAAATCATCAGACCTTCTACGTAATACACTCTTTCCAAATCTACTTCCATGGGGCCATTTTCAAAGAAATTCTAGGGTTAGCATCCTAACCTGCCCTTGAACATGAATTCAAAAGTTAAACTGATGACTGATACAGAAACAGTTTCAAAAAACCCTGTATTGGAAAGAATTATGGAAAGGCACAGGTGATAAATGAGTCAAAAATATATAATTGCAACTGAATGGTCAATTTATTATTTGTACAATATGTTCTTATAGAAAATAAAAAGGCACTTGTATTTTGTATTTACTTTAAACAGAATATTATGCCTTGTTTTTATACTACTACAAGTAACTCAATGTATGAACGTAAAACATAATTCCAAATGTCCTGTATTATTCCCACAATTTGCCACATTATTTGGTCACCTTTTAATTTCTCAGTTGCTATATACACTCATACAACCTTAACAGTAATCATATCTGGACAATATGTAAGACAAATTATGTTGCAAGTACTTCATCAGCCTTTTTTACTTCCAGATATCATTTCACTACATTTGATGCATGCTTGGAATCACTATCTTGGTGGAAGAAGATTTCCTGCCCAACAAAAGGCTTGAATTTGGTAGCCACCATTTTTGCCATCTGCTGCTCAGAGCCTCAAGAAATATGTAAGTACTTATCACAGAAAACACGAGCTGTTTATTGATAATCAACCTTAAACACAGATAATTTTGACAAAGATTGTTATGGCCGTGCTGAATCACTACTTCATATAGATAAATAACTTCCTAATGACATCACATGGAATCCTGACAATTTCACCGACTCACTGGACTGCAGACAGAATTGCTTGCAGTTCTATTTATCAAACCAATCAAAGTTCAGATCTAGACCTGTTAATGACTTATGGAGTGTCACAAGTAAATTTGTTACTATTTTCCATACAATTTATGCATTAATATTTCCATAGGTTAAAAAAAATAACAAATTCTGAATTGTACTGGTATGGTATTATAAGGCTACCAATAATGCTGATACAGTCAATAGACAAACATATTATCTCTGAATTGTGAACCCTACTATTATGTAATGATTAACAGATGGTGTAACTTACTGCACAGATTTCAATAACCTAAACATATGGCATTAACGATACTTCCACGGTAGGTCACCATTTGGGCATTTTATAACTGGATGGTGTGATATGATACCAGGGAGAAGAGAAGGGTGTACAACAAACACACCAAGCACAAGCCAGATGCAATGGATACTGCTAATAGTTAATGGTGATAAAAATCAAAAGATATTTGTAAGTAAAATGACACTTGTTTTATTAATAAGTATTCACATTGGTACAGTAAGTCAGTTTTAAAAATAAAAGTGATGTTGCTAACTGGAAGAGAATGATCAGCTATGTGTGAGTAGCAGTTTTGAAAAAAAAGAGAGGTTATTTTTGTTTAATTTTTTTACTTAAATATTTAACTTCATTACATATTCCATCTAAAGAGAACACAGCTACACAAAAACAAACATAAGATGATGCATAAGTGAAATTCAAGGTCATTTGTATATATTATTTGCAGTCAACTTTCTAAATTGCTAGAACAACAAACAAACTTCAAGCCTTGCTATAGGTCTTATTCCTGAAGGAATGACATGATGAATAAGAATCTAAGTTTACCTGTCAGCAGTCAGGGTGCCACCAATGTTTTGTAGAACTCCAACATTACTGGCTGAGATGCAGCTCACACTTATATTGATCCCCCAGCATTCTTCACTGTAGATGTTTTACATAGACCATGATACTATTCCCTTCTCCACCATCAAACAAACTATTGTTGATTGTTGTCACATAACTGGAAGTTTAATTTATCTGTAAATAACAACCTCTACTTACTTTTCTCGTTCCATTGTTTGAAGTCTGATGCCAATTACCACCTTTTCTTTTGGTTTTATCTCATAGAGATTGATTTATCACCACCTACTTGTCCATTGGGGATACTTCATGCTAATATGTATCTTAATGTTCTGAAAGGAACATTCATTCCAGTACTTCGAGCTAGGTTATTGGTAAGATCTTTACAGGATTATCATGTATCATATAAAGAGCATATCCTGATCTATGTAAGTTAACTTTCTTTGATCAAAAGTTAATATACGTTATGTAAAATTACTTTTGAAGAGTTTGGGTTTTCTACCTTTTCCAAATCTAGAATCAACAGTACTAGTTTCATATACCTTCTTCAAGTTTTCATATAGCTCCTACTGAAACATGAACTTTCATCTCAATCTTTTACATAATGTAGCCTTCACCATACAAAAATTTGATTTCAACATGTTTTGTCAGGTTGCATTTCTGTTTTGAGAGTCATGAGTTCATTCAAAACACTACTGTTGGGAATAGTACGACTACCTGTATTTTTATTTTTATAAAGCATTGTTTGATTGGTTGGATGACAGTGAATCAGTGTAAAAATATAACTGCACTTTGGTGCAGTTCATTTTCATACAATGTAAGGAAAGCACTCCATAATGTTTGCTTTTTCTACCCATTTAATTTATTGTTTCCATAATTACATCTAATAGCGTGTATAAAAATAAATAAGAAAATTCCATATGAAACTGCAGTTGATTACTTCTTTATATTAACCTCAAACTTAGCTACCCCTTACCTTCCTCTTAAGGTTTTAACATACAACACAAGATATTTGGTGCTTATTTACTTACCTTTGGTAGTATCACACATACTAAATAAGGAGCAAGCTTTAAAGGCCACTGTAGTTTGTCTTTTGATGATAAAGCTTCAATACTAGCCGACATAAGTCGTGTAATTCCAAGACCGTAGCAGCACATCTGTAGCAGCCTGAAGATGTCAAAGAAAATCTAATTGTAAAAATTTCATTTACACTTAAAAGATACAATTATTTAGATATTTAAAGACCCAAATGCAACCAATTCCACTCACTACAGTGCCTATGATGGTGCATAGAGTTAAAAAATCCCAGGAGCCCTTCCCCATAGAGGAAAATTTTTTCTATACTTTTTTTAGAAATTATGCAAGTTGTGAAATCTAATAAACCAAAATACTTTATGTTTGTTGAATTTTGTACAAAGCTACTTCAGAGCTATCTGTGCTAGCCATCCCTAATTTAGAAATAATAGACTAGATGGAAGGCAGCTAGTCAACATCACCCAGTGCCAATTCTTGGGTTACTCTAATAAAATATTTGAATTGACAGTCAAATTATAATGCCCCCAAGGTTGAAAGGGTTCAATGATGGAATTCAAACCTGCAACCCGCAGATTTCGAGTTGAGTGCCATAACCATCAGGTCATGCCAGGCCCAACAAAATACTAGATCTGAAAGTTAAAAAATAAATAAGTAAATAATAATTCAAACTTGCTTAGCTTGATTTCTAGATTAAATTTTATCACACTATGAGAGAAAAATTGGATATAAAAAAAAAAGGGTAAACATGATCAAACAATTGTTAATTCTAATCAAGTTCATAAAACTGCATAAAAAGTATTATTAAAAAATACTAATTTATGTTGTAATCACCACAAATTAGGTTTTAAAGCACAGACAAAAGTCACTACGAATTCCAGAACTATCACCAAACTTACTAAATTTAGTTTGAATCTTAAAATAGCTAATTAAAATTTAAATACAAATTGAAGAAAAAAAATTCTAAAATATAAAAAAAACATGTAATACTTTTTTTTTTTGTAAAGATCTTCATTTTTTTTTACATTACTCTAAAACAAAGTTTTAATTTAAGCCTCTGCTTACTCTGGTTTTCCTTTCTTGTTGATATATTGTGCATTGAATGCTTCACTATAAACAGAGCCTAGATAGAAGGCGTGACCAACCTATGGAAAAAAAAAAAAATAAAATAAATAATAACAGACTCAGTAGAAAGTACACGGAAAAAATTCAGAATTAAAGCTTACTGACTTGTCTAAGATAAATAAATAAAATGACATATATATTCTTTTTAAGAAATGTTTTAAAAAATTAAAAGATGAAAACAAATGAAAACCAAGCAATTTGAAAAAACAAAACAATTAATTCAGCTTTTGGAAAAACTTTGTGGAAATGTTTTTTAAACTGTTTGCTTGGTTTCATATTTTTCTCTTTTTCATAATTTTGTTCATTTGTTTATAGTGCTTCAAAATATATTTTTTTTTCTTGCAAGATTGTGTTTTTTGTTTATCATCGGGAAACCTTTTATCATTATTATTATTTTTAATTTAGATATATGTTTCTTGTTTCTTATGATTAGTGCATTCAAAGTTTTCAGCTTTTTTGTTAAAAAATTATCAATTTTTCTGAACAAATATGATTATTTTGTTCTTTACTTATACTTTCAAATTATAATAGTAGGTGTTGTATATTAGTATATTATATTATTCTGAGTGACAAGCAAAGTGACCATAAATGTCAGGTGATCAAAACTGGGATACTGTTAAGTGTTGTGACATACGAACACTGTCTAATATTCAACATAAATTTAAAATTGCACTTTACATTAACCCTATAACTACAGGTCCCCTTTTCTACACGTGTCACAAGGCTTTACTGAGTTACATGCAAAACTTGATCAAGCAACTTCACTGTCAATGTATGTCAATGAAATTACCATTATAATGTACATTATAATTCAAAGTTTCATATTATCTAAGTTTTAGTTCCTTTATTTCATAAGAAACTTTAAAAAAATTCTTTATCTTTGGTTGTTTTGTTGTCCCATGATGCACAAGCATATACAAGTCATAAATTTTGGTCTCTGTAACATTAAAAATCCTTCATGTACACTAGATGTCTATGATTAGATAGAAAAAAGGCTAATTGCTCTGTTTACATGTCCTTCTTTCAAATTCTTTAGGGCAAATTCCGAGAAAGGAGAAATAAACACTTGACAGAACCCATGCCCACTTTCTACATATAGAGTTGCAATTTCACAGACAACTGTACTTATTTGAACTAGATGTCTTTTACCAATAGAAAGAGCTCATGTAAAGCTACAATTTCCCAATGGTTATTTTAAAATTGGTGCACAGAATTCTTTATAAAGTATGTCACACCACTCTTAGCATTGTTTCTCACCTAGAAATATGTTAGTTAGATAGACAGTTAAATTGTTTTTAAGTTTTAGTCTTATATTTTAGACAATTAGGTGTTATTTATGTTTTAAAATGTATATCTGAAATGTTTAATATTTTTTTTAAATATAACTCAAACTTTGCCTTGGTTCATGAGGTTTAGTGTAGTATGCGAGTTTAACAAAATTCTGCCAAAGGCTAAAGTATCTCTGCCAGTGACACTGAAATATTGCTCAAGAACACCCATTGATGTGTGTCATGATAAATAATAATGCTAAAGGACAGAAAATGAAAATGTAAAACTTCAACACAACTTTCTATTGTGAAATGAAACTTACTTCAAGAAGTTTGTTAAAATTAAAATTTTTGGACTTCCAATAAGTTTGAGAATCATCTGTTAATCAAAAAAATCAAAATGAAAGTCTATTACATTATTCACAGCACACCTCTAACTATCTATAACTAGATCGGCAAATACAGAGGAACATATGCAAGTCAAATCCTTTATGAAAGTGCATACGTAAATGGCTCACAGTTAAAAAAAAAAGATCTTTTGACATTATTTTCATATATAAAAAGTTCACATTAGTATTCATTCTAAATAATTTTTTCACAACTTCCTAATGATATTAGCATTGCTTCTAAAGAACTCATCTGTTTCAAATACTAATTTTTGTTTCTCAGTTTACAGTTTTATGGGGTCCTATCATGGGGGGGGGGAGTAGATGAGATTACTAAATAATAAGTACTGTTTTACATTTTAAAAACTGACAGCTTACTTCTATTCCTTGACTTTTCTTCATATGTGATTTACACATAGGACAAACTGATATAGTCTCTGCAAGCCAAGAAATACTTGTTATACATATATACCTTCAAATGTTAATAAATAGAACAATTCAAACTTGAAACTTGTTAAATACATTTCCCCCCAGAAAATTACTATAATAGAAAACAGCCACACAAGATAATACTTCAAAATAATAATTTACTAGCCATGCTACATGGCTAATAACCATTGTGAGGTAATCAATAACAGATAGATTTCAACCATGTTATAAAATGATTACAATTATAGTAAAAAAATATTATGTCTAAAAAATTAAATTTTAATATACTATTTAATGTAAACTTTGGGGTTACTGCCACATATAAGAATTAAACAATGAACAGATTAGCATAATTTTACAAGAATATTACCAAAAAACTATAAAAATTTATGTAATGTCTTCCATAAAAGTAAATCAATTCCATGCTCACTTCTAGTTACGTCAAGAATAGAAACAATGTGTTTTTAATGTACATCAAAGAAATATAATCAGTAAATTGTATGTTCTTTTAAAACTTTGAAAATTTATGAAACACACCTTGCAGCTCAACATTTGTTCTAAAGTCACAGCTGGAAAAGATAACAAGAAAGTTTAAAAGGACAAAAAAATCTAACTTTTCACTCACATGTCAAGAAATTGCAAACATGGAAAATCCATATATATATACTATGAACATAAACTCATATTTCAATTCACAATTCTTATGTTAATAAAAACAGTCTTTGTTAAAACTTCATCCTTTCATTTATTCACTAAAGATCTTTAGTTAATACACCAGGCTTGGTAAAATTTCTCACTCAGTAACACATTAAAACTACAAGGCTTTTTATAGAAAATTAACCCCCACGTATGTACAAAATCCATATCATAATTATCAATGTCATACACCTACCAAACAAAAAATAGTAGACAATTCTAAGTCATTAACACAATAGGTCTAACTAGTACAGACTATACTACGCAAGTCATTAATACAATAAATCTACCTACTGCTGACTACAATTAGGGCAAACATTTTACTGCAATAAACCTACCTGGTACACAGTTGTAGTTGGTCTTCTCCTATCTCTGACAAGACATGGTATTCATGAGAATACTTTCCTCCTATGTTTCCTGTCAGCCCCTGAACTGTTCATTATAAAAGTGAAGTTTTTAAGACAGGTAGATATCTCAATTACAATGAACATGTTAATTTTTCATAATAAAATAGCATACAGACTTTTCAGTATGTTATATTTTGTAAGCAGAAGAAAACTGCAGCAGATCACAATAAACCGAAAAATGGATTTTAGAAAACATATTTCTAAACTTTAATATAGTTTCTTAATGAAGTAAAAAAAAGCAGTTAATCCACATTTGTGTAAACCCTTATAAGTAAATTCATAATATTTTAGAATACTTTTATCTGCTATTCTAACAATTTAATAAGTTACAACTCAACAATAGAATATATTTTTATTAGTTACCTTTCACAACATGTAAACAGAGCTGCTTGAATATCCTATCATAAGCTTCACAGACTTCAGCATAAGTGGACTGAGCTTCTTCCTCTGATATATCAAAGCTGTACATGTCTACAAGAAAGCAATCAAAACAAATAACAGGTTTTTAATTATACAAACTATTTTTAATAAAAGTAATATTTTAGAAGGAAAAACTAGTAGAGTTTAAAGAATTCTATATGATAAGATCATAGATATAAAATTATTCTGATGAATGTACACAGGCATCAATAACTTTAAGTTCAAATAGGCTTAACAATGTTTGCTAATGTTATGCTACAAAGTATTTAAACAGGGCTTACAAGTATTCACAATAATGTAATCTGCAGTTACTGTAAAAAATAAATTATAGCTCATATGATCAATCAGTTCCTTTAGAGAAACCTATGTTTAAATCATAAAAAATACAATTTTTCATCACATAGACAAGAAAAACAATAAGAGTACAAGAAACTCAAAAACATAACAGATGAGGTACTAGAAACTTTAATGTCACTCACAAAGTACCTTAATAAAGTACTGTAAAGGATCAGATCCTATTAGGTTAAACATTTTGTGCCATATTCTTTTCTGACTTAAATACTGGTTTCAATATAAGTAATGTGAAATAAATTTGATACATTATATTCTTACTTCAAAATCATCATTGCCAAACTCCTTAAGTATTGTTTAAAAGTTATGTTAATTTTGACTCTAGTAATATGTAACTATTCACTAATGAAAAACGTGAAATTTTATTTGGGTTGAATACTATTAAATTTAAATTATAACTAATAATATAAGTTACAACATTCTGGAAAGAAAACATGAGAAAGAGACACACCTTTCATGTAGAATTCTCTTGCTCTCAACAAACCAAATCGAGGCCTCATTTCATCACGAAACTTTGCAGTGATCTAAACTTTGAAGTAAATCATCATGAATATTAGTGTGGAAAAGAAGGAAAAAAAAGCTAACTGAAAATGTGTGAATGTACAAAGCATTTCATCATGACTTTTGAAGTACTTTAAACAATAAGAGTGAAACACTGTCCCTAAAACTTGAAATAGAAACAAAAACTAGTAGATATACATAACCAAGAAAAACTCAAGCTGATGGAAACATTGAATATGTTCTGAACATCTGAAAAAAGTCTAAAAAAATCACAATCTTTTTAATTTGATTTTATTAATTATTTAAAAACACTGTAGATCCTTACAAAGAATAATTTTAATTTATAGATACTGCAATTTCTATACAATTTATACAAACTTTTTGTGGTGTAATATAAAGTTATAATATTCGTTATGAGCAAACCCACACCATTAAGTATAGCTTCAGCAATATTTAAACATACATTTACTCATACTACCATTTTTTCCCAATACAAACTAACATGTTTCATGCAGTTGCCAATATATTATGTTTCGGTAATAAACAAACCTGGTAAAGTTTCAATGGTAATTGTTTGTAGGACAAATTTGGTAGTGATGATACAAGAGATGTTACAGCTTCTTCATGAGTCTGAAAAAAATAAGGGTAGTTTTAAAAATGAAAATACCAGTCTTCTTAGAAGAAATTAGTCATTTCATTAAATACTGTGGCAATACCTGTACAAATTAGTTCCACTAGGGAAAATTACTGACCAATCATTTACAAACTGAGTCTTTTAAAAGGCAGATATGGAATATTATGTATGTTCATGCATGAATCGCTTGCCCATCCTATTATTTTCTTTTAATCTCATAGCAAGTTGATGCATGCTAGATTTTGTACATATTGGGACTACAGCCAGCTCAAAGCAGGTTCAAAGGGTTAAAAACAAAAAAAACACCACAAAATTTTAGAGGTGCAGAAATTCTAAAAATTTAGAAAAATTACTAAGAAACAAAGCAAAAATGGATATTTGTGGTGAAAGTTTGTGTGCAGAACTTAAATTAATATTACATAGAATACCAGAAAATTCAACTCCAGATAAGATCTTATTTCATATATATGAAAACCAAATCAAAGAAATTTTTCCAGATATGTTTATTGGCTCTAAGAATTTTATTAACTTTGCCTGTTAGTGTGGTTTTTAAGACTAAAGTCAATAAAAACATTTTTGTGTTCCACATTGGGACAAGAGAGATTAAATGGTCTCGCAATAATTTCTATGGAAGATGAAACAGCCAGAGAAATTAATATGGACAAATAAAGGAAAAGTTTTGCCATGTTAAAACTTGTAAAGTTCCATTTTCTAAAAAATAATCTTTGTTTTTATAAGTATTTTTGTACTCTGTATTCTGAATTTTAAAAAAAATTAAATTTTTCTAAAGTACAGAAAAAAAGAAAAGAAAATGAGTGCAATTCTTTATTTTTGCACCCTTCAATTTTTGAACTTAAGCCAGCACTGATTGTGACAACCACATTTTCAGTAAATTCTGGCTAAAAAATGGACATGATAATGTAATGGCAGATGATGCATTAGATCCTTGTCCAATTTAGGCTCCAACTATACGATTTCACAAACAAAATAATGTAAGATGAAATAAAAATGGCTATATATATATATATATATATATTGTGAATCATGGAGTCTGTCCTATTATTTGTCTGTCTCCTGTTTACACTGGCCATTTCCCACACTGCATTTGAAAAGCTGCACATGCAGGCAAAGCCCAACATTCAGTTTTGAAATGATGGGAGAACAGTC